TTGAGAGCAGATGCAGGAGCTTCCGTAGAAACATCAAAGTCCAGGCAGACCAGGGGACAGGTTAAGGCCAGGACCTATGGCACCCCGTCCTGGAGACCCATCTGGAAGCCTGCTGCCGAAAGCCTATCAACGCTGGCATTTGATGTCTTACTGTTACACGCACCCCCCGAACACGAAGTCCTTGCCCCTCTCTGATACACACAGATAAAACTCTTTGCATGAGCTGATGCTTTTAGCTAAGCCTCCTTGTTTCCTTGTGCAGTGAGTTGCCTCTCTCAACAGTTTTCATCAATGTAGCAGTCTACCTTTATCAGGTGATGCTTTGGAGAGTATCCTGACCTCAGGCATAAGAAATCACTATCCAAATAAATAAAAGGGCAGAATACACAGACAAACATGCACTGCTATGTTGAAAAATAGTAGCAATATATTATGTCTGTGTAAAACTAATTATTTGCTACTATCTCACGCCCGCATATGCTTTGACTTCCCTTTTTCAGGCTTCAAACTAACTTCATTCCTAATTTGTCTTTTTCTCCCCACACCCTGTGCGTTTGTTTTTTTTTAAAAAAAAAAAAACAAGCCATTTATCCAGAAATACTAAAAGCGCAATGCACTGCCAGCACAAGAGATGCTGTTAGACAGGCAGTGTGCACCGTCTTGCTGTGTCTGCACACTGGTTTTTCCTCGCAGGGCAGCCCACTGACCACGGGCTGGTGCTGTGACTGCTGCCCCTCTGGCCGGCCACAGTCATTCTCAGCACAGGGACCTCAGCTTCGGACCACCAGTATCCCCCACAGCTTGCTTTCAGAAGTGGACTTTTGGCTTGTCCTGCATAAAGGGTTATACCAGCCTTCAGAAAACCAGGAAATTCTGGTTAATTCACTTAGAACTAGCATGCCACAAAATCTTTTAAAAACATGATGTTAGGGCCCTCCCTGGTGGTACACCAAGTTAAAGCACAGCATAGGTAAGAAGCAAGCTGCAGCTTCAGCACAAGTTCAATCTCCCCCCAGGGAGGTGACCCACGTGGCACCGCAGACCTCTCCTGGCTCCCTGCTGCTCCCCTCAGCGGTGTGCTTCATCCACCTGCCTTCATCCACCTTCATCCACCACTCTGTCTCTGGTGGCTCCTCTCACCAGTCTTGCACCTCCGGGCAGCACCCCAGTCCTGTTTGCATAAATAAATAAATCTTACAAAAATTAAGTAAAGCTGAATTTAAAAAAAAAAAAAAAGGCATGATGTGGCCCTCCCTGGTAGCGCAGCGGGTTAAAGCGCAGCATTAAGAATCTAAAGCCACTTCTGCATGAGTTCGATTCCCACCTGCCCCGGAGGTGACCACATGGCGTGGCAGACCTCTCCTGACCCGCCCGCTGCTCCCCTCAGCAGTGTACTTCATCAGTAGGCCTGTTCTGCTCCCCACTCTGTCTCTGGTGAATCCTCTCACCGCCCCTGCACCTCTGGCTTGTACCCAAGTTCTATATGCATAAGTAAATAAATCTTAAAAAAAAAAAAAAAGAAGCATGATGTTAATAACCTAATGAAACAATACTATCCCTTTGTCCACAATATAAAAAGAATCTTTCCAATGCTGTCAGAGTAGTGCTTTTATTTATAATTTTGTTCAGACTCACAGGTGCCTTCAGGTTCTGTCTTAAAATAACATCACTAGAAGACAGGTGGTAGCTTTCTAGAACCTGGTTCTGTTTCTTCAGATACTCAGCCTGCGGACTGCTTTCTGAGCATTTTAGCGCTCAGAAACTGTAATTATCTTGACGCATACTACTTACACTGTCTTAGTTATTAATTATAGTGGTGTCATGCGATAAATGCATCCTTATTGGGATCAAATATACATTATTTTTTGTAGGGATTATCAAGAAGTTCTCATGACAACAATTGCAATTATATGGTCATCAACTCCTAATACAGCACTGTGTTCTAGAAAGTCTGTAATTAAGTCCTGCCAAGAGGGCGCTTCAAACTTGAAAAAAATTTTCAAGTTTGAGAGTAAAGGTTTGACCAATGTTAAAAGCATCGATGCCATGGAACCTGTTCCAATGACTTCTTGTGACTCTCAAACAAGAATGTTGTATCAGCTAACGTTCGTGGCATTCAGTTTAAATGTCTATCTAAACAAGCTATCTAAAGCATATTCTTTCAAAAAGCCTTTCTCTTTTTTGACCTTTAGAATAAAAAAAATTTGAATACACCCCAGGGGTGGGGAGAAGAGGGAATTGGACTAGAAATGCGATAGGAGGAATAGTGCCTTCAGAGATCAATCCATCTGTAAATTCTTTACAAATGCTGTAATTCACTGTTGTAAATGTTTTCATTTAACATTCCTAAAATAATTTGTCTCTGTCACACCAGTTGAAAAGAGAAAAAAAAGTAAGTTTCCAGGTGATACTTCCAGAGATTTGGTTCACTTTCTTGTAGAGGGTGAGATTCTTTGTCTTTGTTTTCAAAAAGCCAAAGGAAAAGAGGGTTATGGGAGACAAAGCTGATATACAAAACGTGGGTGAAGGCAGAAGATCAGTCTTTTGTGAGGTTTGGGCATCTGGCTGCCAGTTTTTACTCTGGCTCTACATTAACTAGAAGGGAAACTTGGATAAGTCACAACTGTGCCTTCCTATCTCCATTTGTCTAGGGACAAAATTTGCTCTGATGGTTTAATCATTTCCTACATGTAAAAGGATCAGATTTGTGCCTAGCACATAGTAAACACTAGCTACTTTTGAGATAGTATTTTATGTAATTTAGGGGTACTGAGCCCAAATAACTGAGCTCTCTTTTCAACGAAGGCAGGACTATTTCCAGTTTTGTTAACCAGTTCTTCTCAAAGATCTTTTCAGAATGTTTGTGTTTATATACTTAAGGAGATTTTTTTTTTAAGATTTATTTATTTATGCATCCAAGAGCTCGAGTATAGGCCAGAGGTATGAGGGATGGAGTGAGAGGATTCACCAGAGACAGAGTGGGGTGCAGAACAGACAGACTGGCTGAAATGTACTGCTGAGGGGAGCAGCAGGTGAGACAGGAGAGGTCTGCTGCTGCACCATGTGGGTCCCCTCCTTGGCCAGGAATTGAATTATGGATAGTTTAATAGTCCTGAGACTTAATCCTTCTGCCACCAGGGAAGCCCCAGGATAAATATTATAAAGTAAAAGCAGCATCAAGTTTTATATCTTTAAACTATGAATTGTACTGCCTTGTCAGTGTATTCGTTCCACAAATTCTGGTACAAGCTAATCACCTCTTGTTTTTAAGACAAAAAGCATCATCTTTGGGCATGCAGAGCTAGTTATCTAAAATCATACTAGATCTTAAGAGTAAAAGTTCTGCAGTATGTAGTCAGTTATTGCAGGGCTAAGTCCAGGTTACAATGACATAGCATTGGAATGGCTATTGTGAACCCTTTTTTATTTACAAAATCACTAAAATAAGTCAAGTAGGTGTATTGATAAGCCTAAACTCTCCAAACAAGTTACTTCTGTAGATTGATCTGTCTATACAATTTGTCTGTTTATTTCACAGGTTATATTTGTTTTAATGTTATTTGTAAAATTATACTCCTACTTTTTGAATGAAATTAGTGAAGTAATTCTAATACATTACATTATACATTATAATGTATTATAAATATTGCTCTAAAATATTTATAGATTTAAATAATAAGTAATTAAATGACTATAAAATACATTGTTCAAAGTAGAAAATTATGAACTTCCTTTTTATGAGTTGCTTTATTAATCTCTGCAAGGTTCATCAAGATTGTACAAGTTCTCCTGTATTTGATATTTTTTAATTCCAACTATAATCCCTGATGAACGGAATATTAGATTATATCTTAATCACATTCAAACCTTTAGTTGCTTTTTCAAGTTTCAGTTTAGATTTCACTTCTTCTTAGTCTCTGACCCACAGAAGTACAATAACAAAATGCTATATAATTGTACAGTCGATAATGATGTAAGTAAAATTGGAGAAGAATTAATGTATATTTGGCTAAATGCAAATAGTTTCCATGCAGACATGAACAGTTGGGTTAGTTTAGTGTAGTAAGAATTCTTCATTAGACTATACACACATACACACAAAGTTTTCTTGAGTCTGTATACTTGCCTCTACCATAAAAATCCTCGAACAATTCTTTACTTTTCAGACCAATTAATTTTGGCTCTTCATTAATGTGAAAGTTATTAGATCCTTAGTTTTGATGGTGTTGACTCCAAAATAGGTGGAAAAGGTTAAATTGAAAGTATTACTCTGTAGTGACGGCACATGGGTGAATTGGTGGCGGGAAGCCTATAGGGATTGCAACTGAGAGAAAAAATGCACAAAATGAAGAATGTTGTAAAAAAAATAGAATTTTTAAAAAAGAAAGTAATACCACTTTCCATTTCAATTTTGGAAGTGAATCTGAGACTGACCTGGAAATGGAAATAAAAGAAAAAATAAGTGGAGTTCCACTTTTAGACTTCATGAGCCACCATAACAACATACCACAAATTGCATGATTGAAACTCCAGACATTTCTTTTCTTACTGTTCTGGAGGTTAAAAGTTGGTGATTTGCACTGGTGGTTTGCACTAGAATGTTCTTCCTTGCTGGAAGACTGCCTTGCAGTGCTGTGTACAGGTGGCCTCTTCTCTGTGTGTTGATGAGAGCACAATGTGGAGTTTCAGAGGAGGGAGCTCTGGTGTCTCTGCCTCTTATTAAAAGGGCCCCATACTCATCAGACTAGGTCCCTCTCAAGCTCACCCTATGGCTTCACTTGATTCTCATTACTCCCTAAAGATCGTGTCTGCAAATACAATCACATTTGGGGTCAGAGCCTCAGCAAATGAATGGGGCAGGGTGTCACGACAGCATCCCTAACACCACCAAAAGTGGTAGACACTTAGGAAATCCCAGGGCTAGGTGAGGTGCTACCGAGAGATTCTATACCATGGTAAAGCTTATGCTGATGTCCTGCTGCTTTTTATTTATCTTCTAGATCAGTATTTTCATGACCCACCTGTCCAACTATGGGAACGACCGTCTGGGGTTATACACCTTTGTGAACTTGGCCAACTTCGTGCAGAGCTGGACCAACCTGAAATTGCAGACTTTGCCTCCAGTGCAACTAGCTCACAAGTACTTTGAGCTCTTCCCTGAACAAAAAGACCCTCTCTGGCAGGTAATTTATGAACATTCTCTTCTGGGGTGGAAGAAAAGAAACTAGCAATTTGTGACTGCCTAATGTGTATCAATAATGCTGCAGAGATTTTAAAACTGACATTTAACATGATGTTCTTTTTTTTTAATCCAATCATTTTATCCCTTTCATAATAGCTTTGAGTCATTGTAATGAATTAGGTGTTTGTATTTTTTTTTTTTTCTGGGGTTTTGCTTATACCATTCACTTCTAGATGTTGAATTGAGGTTTGTTTTTTCATTGTCCATGTCTGCTCAGAACTAATCAATTGACATTTTGTGGGAGTCTAGACTAGCAGTGAAAAGCTTTGACATTGGCTATCAGGAAATAGGAACCAAGAGTTACCACGCTAGACCCTATAACTGTGATGTGTATGTGTATGAGGCAGAGAGAATTAAGTAAAAGGGAAGAGTTTCCTAGAGCTTGTGTAGATTCTATTTTTATCTTCACATTTCTTCAAATCTAACTTTCACTAGGATCAGCTAGATTAAAAAAATAATAATAATATAGGACATTCTCGGTGGTACAAGGGTTGAAGACACAGCTCTATCAAGCTACTCTCAGCCACTCCAGCATGAGTTTGATCCCCACCCCAGAGGTGACCCACATAGCACAGCAGACCTCTCCTGACCTGCCCATAGCTCCCCTCAGCAATGTACTACCTTGATCTGCCTGTTCTGTTCCCCTCTCCACCTCTGGCGAATCATCTCACACCCTCCACCCCATACCTCTGGCCTACACCCCAGTTCTTGTATGAACGCATGAGTAACTCTTTTTAAAAGAATTAAGAATTTTAGGATTGCTTTTACAAATAATCTGACTTGATGTGGGGTCAGTAAACTGTCTGCTTCTTGGCAGTCATCTAGGAAAATGTTACCCCCCTTCCTTCTTCTTTATGCATCAAATGTCATTGACCTTGTAATCAATAGGCTGGCTGCAGAGAACAGATCAGATAGTCTCCTGCTAAGCAGTGGAGGAGGAGAATAATCACTAATGCGAAATCCCTGAGAGAAGAGCATCTTCCCACACCTCTCCCTGTCATCAAGACTGTTTCTCTTTGTTCCATGGTTCGCCTCACATGCTGCTCCTGTCTCTACTGTCCTGCCTCCATTCAACACATATTTATTGAGTGTCTACTATGTGTAGAGGAAGCTTTCTCTGGGGAGCACAAAGAAACAAAATGCATTTTTTTTTCTCGAGCTCCATGAAAGTGTGTATTGTTCATCGTATTCACAATCGTTTTTTAAATATGTTTTAAAACTCACTGCTACAGTAAGGCATCCTTTATACAGTGCCTATTTGACAGCCTTTCACCACTTGAGTTCCCTGGCCCTTCCAGTGAGCAGCTTAATCATGTATAAATGTGCTGTATAAGTTGAAAGACAGACAGATAGGTAAAGACAATGTTTTTATCAGTACATATAGCCCTGCACGTAGGTGTTGAATTTTATAAAAGTGTTGAATTCCCACGCGTTGTGTCCTGTAGATGGCAGTTACTCAAAAGTGTTTGTTAATAGTAAATTGATTCTTTTCTCACACATGAAATGCTGATATGCAAACCTTTCCCTTTAACTACAGTTGTGTATATTCTTAAATGTATTTCAGGAGAAAAACAAGAAATAGGAAACAGCAAAACAGTTAAGTTTAAGAGGGCGTTACTCAAATACGAGAGAAACTTTAGAAACAGTTGACTTAATGAAGCAAAATCTGTTGAACATAAACTGCACCCAAAAATCTGCAAATAGTTAAGTAAATAAGGTTCCTTCCCCTGGTGCTTTTCAAATTTGTGTTCATAAGAAGGAAAACTAAGCATTAAAATTGTTGTCCTTTATATAATATGAATTTAATTTTACAAAAAAAAGCACTGATTACATGTTTTATAGCTCATTCATCATGATCCTACAGAGTTATGATAGATCAATGTTTTGTGACTCTTAGCTACATATTGTCAAAATGAAATGTTCAGGTTCCTTTGGGTATTTTATAAGCGTATAGCATATAGTGTATTTCACTTTTCAAAAGGAATTCAACTGATATTTTCTTCAGCTTTTCAATTCACACTTTTTTGTTAACACAAATAGAAAGATGTGCAAAATGATAATTTTCACATCTATTTAATCTCCTTTAGCTCCTTATATAAGTTTTTATTAGCACTAACGACGACATATGTGAAAGAGCTTTGGCACCTAATTAAAAAAGTGCAGTAAGTATATCTGTTAATGGGCCGCACAGTAAAAACAGCACAGAATGTGTCTGTGCTTCCTTCCCTGGACGTTAATCCTCTCAAAGGTGCTCAGTATGTGAACCTGTGGAGAAGACACCCATGAAATTCTGTCCCTAGAAAGTAGCATCCTCAATCGAGTTCCTGGTAACTGCGATTCTTTGAATCATAATGTGGGTACCTGTTAATTCATGACCCTTTCTCTTTGGGCAAAATAACCACTATGAGGTAGGAAAGAACAGGCTTCTTTCTCTCTCTCTCTCTCTCTCTCTCTCTCTCTCTCTCTCTGTCTCTGTGTGTGTGTCTCTCTCTGTCTCTGTCTCTCTGTCAGTCCCTCTGTCTCTCTTTCTGTCTCTGTCTCTCTGTGTGTCTCTCTCTGTCTCTCACTGTCTCTGTCTCTCTGTCTCTCTCTGTCTCTCTGTGTCTCTGTGTGTCTCTCTCTGTGTCTCTCTGTGTCTCTCTGTCTCTCTGTTTCTCTCTATGTGTCTCTCTCTGTCTCTCTCTCACTCACTCGCTCGCTCGCTCGCTCGCTCTCATTATAGAAACCAAAGCCACAACTTGGAGGCAGTTGGACGGTCAGATCCTTGGGCACTCACCAATCGATGCTTTTAAGCTCTCAGGCTGTCAGATTAGCTCACTCTCACTCTTCGCGCCCTCACAGCAGAGTCTCGTGATCTACCAACACTCCAAATGTGAAGGGGGGTCCGTGCACCCAGGACCTTGTTCCGAGAGCTGCAGTTTCTCTTCTCCCCAGTCAGGGTGTCCATGTCGGGAGACACAGGAAAGTCAAGTACAGAATGCTGAGCTGGGGTAGCATTTGGATTAATCATAGCTGTGAAATCATTAACTCAGAACAAAAACTAGTGAGGTGTTAGCATCACTGACTTACATCACCAGGTCTAGGCACACACAGTCGCTCATGCTGGCTCTGCAGTCATGTGTGTTTGAAAGGATAAATGATGCTGACACACAGTGAGAGGTTGCAAGAGCAGAACTAGCCCAATCTAGCCCAGCCTCTTTGTTTTAAAGACAAAATGAGTGACACCTCAAGAGTCACTGGCTTTGGGGCCTCCCTGGCGAAGGAGCTGACCCACATGGCACGGCAGATCTCTCCTGGGCAGCCTGCTGCTCCCCACTCTGTCTCTGGTGAATCCTCTCACCCCCAAACCTTTGGCCTGTACCCCAGTTCTTGTATGCATAAATACATAAATCTTTTAAAAGTGGAAAAAAATAAATAAATACCACTGGCTTTTAGGGACAACTCAGGGGTAAGTGTGGGTTTTCCCGGTTCTACTCCAGTGTGTTTCCAAATCTCACCAAGCTTCACATTCCTATCACAGACTCCCTCTGTGGGATGAAACTTTTGTTGCTTCAGAAGACTCTGACAGTATGTTTGGGGAGTTTATCCAACCTCTGCTTTTGAACTACCCAATAAAAAGAAAGTTCTTTGCCTGCATAGAACAGACAGGCCATAATAGTTCCTTGACGGGGTATATAAATCGATCTTCCTATCTATTGCTCTTTTTCACCCTCTACCTTGTTTATGACTGTTATTTTTCAGACTGCACAGCATTGCAGACCTGTGCCTGTCATCTATAGCACTTGTAAACCTTAAGGGGCAAAGGCATTTTTTTCCTCGTCTTTGTTACCTAGAACCTAACATAGTCACTGTCATTAAAATACCATGAATGGTAAACAAAAGCAGAGGTGTGTGTGTGTGTGTGTGTGTGTGCATGTGTGTATGTGTGAACAAAAATTAATTAAAGTGTTCCTCAAAGAAGAATAGGAATGCAGTGAGAAACAGCCTTGAGGACCAGTTACAAGTCAGTGGGGAGTAATTTGCATTTGACAGGGAACAAGATACAACTACCTGTAGCTTCTGAAGATGGGTGTGAAGTAATTTAAAAAGGAGAGTGTTGGTCAATAAATATTAAATGAGAAGCCTTTTTTCCAGGATAGGTAAGAGTAGGGAGGATGTGAGATTAGGACAATAACTTAACTCTGACAAAGAAAGCTCTGAATAATTTCATGGTTGTTAAATAGTGAGGCTTTGAAAGAAAAGGGATGGTATGAGGGTGAGACACTGAGAGGAAAGGAAGGCTAATAGTAATTTTTTTCTTCCACAACTGTGAAAATTAGAGTTCTATAATTGCATATTTTTTCATCTATGGATTCATCTTTTAACCCTTACAGGGATATAATCAGAGTATTTTTTTTATCACTGCACAGATGGCCGGGTAGAAGCACATTATCATCTGCCACAGTTTTCCTAATCACAACCTGCATTTATAGGTTACTATGGTTTATTTCACTTTCTAACTCAAAATTGTATTTAAACTTTTCAGGAATTTTCCCCAAAAATATAGGTAATGCTTCATGATCTTAATTCTTTAATTTACAAGGAAGCATTTGACACTTGATTATGCAAACTTGTCAGGCATTTTGACACCCAGAAATAGTGACATGAGTCATAGTTTGTTTGTTTTTTCTTTTCCTGTCAGTCAGTTGCATATATATTCTTGCAAATGTCAGATTACACACACACACACACAAATTATTGAAATGTAGTCATGAAGAAGCTAGTTGTAGATAACTCCATGGTATGGAATGGAGTGGATTAAAAAAAAAAAAGCATAATTTTTTCATAATTTCTGTACCAGAAACATCCTGAAAATATATATTTTGAGTTCCCAAGTATAGCAAAGAAAAGGGAATTTGTGTGGGTACCTTAAAAGATATGTCTGATAACCTTAATGTCATA